CTTTAATACGCGAGGTCCCCGGTTCAATCCCGGGCTCGGGCCAGTATTCTTTTTTTTCCTTCTTATCTTTTTTTCCTTCTTATCTTTTTTTCCTTCTCTCTTTCTCTAGTGAGAAGGTTAATTAATACAATGCTAGGTTATATACGGAGTACGGAGTACCCTCATTCTTTTTAGTGTAATTCCCGGCATAATTTCTCAAAGAAAACACTATAGGAAAATTATGTTGATTTCGTCAAGAGATAATAGAGCACTCCCTCTTTCATCAATCGCCCGGGTGGTCTAGTGGGTAAGAAGCTCTTCAGCTCCACTATAACATAGTACATTCCACTAACAATTCATCAGTATGATTCGCGCTTAGTAAGCATCAACCTAATCAGTCATAATATCTTTCAAATCCTAACAATCTCTCCAGGGGTTCACCCAAAGCAATATTGCGCGAGGTCCCCGGTTCAATCCCGGGCTCGGGCCCATCTTTTTTTTTTTCTCTTTTTTCTTTCATATATTACTAATACAGTAAAAGCTGGTTAGTCAACTACAACATAGTATAACGAATTTACCCCTTTACTACGAACTTCGTTATTTCACCTTTCCCCTATAGTTATAAGATTCGCTATAACCAGGTATTAGTCAATAACTTTCAACCAATCAAAATGCGTCAATCGATCCTAGCGTCCGAAAAACTTGCTCTCCGAGAGCAGCTTTGAAAGAACCCTGTGCATTTGAATAAATTCCTTGCTTAATAGTTTTAACAAACCTGTAGCCGTCGTCTCTCTCCCTCTACGATATCCGAGATCCTTTCATCCTGATATGTATACCTAGGCGCTAAGCTTTCGAAGCACCAAATCGATACTAAGCACGCTCGTATAGCTAAGTAGCCAGATCTCGAAAAAGCACTTAGCTATTGTTACGTGCCGGGTCTTCATGAGAAAGAGTGTGTCGGACTGAGTGGAACTGGTATGACTTGATACCTGAACTTACTATGTAGAGCAAGTGGTAAAATGAGTGTGTATTGTCAAGAGCAAGCTGCTCACTATGAAGTAAACCTTGGCCTCCCCCTCCTCCTAAGGAGAATAACCATGGACTCTTATGATCTCTTGCTTCCCGAACGTGATGTTAAATCACAAGGGAAGCTGTGGGGACCTCGGCTATCGGCGGCACTTCCAATTCTCTAATCTGCCTAGGGAACGCTTGCCGGCAAGCATTCACTGCCTCTTCATGATACCCTGGTCCCTTATGGGCATCGACGAAAGCATGATTAGCTCGCACGGTGCTCCATAATATACATATGCATAGACAGAAAGGAGTGTGCGAGGTGGAGTACTATAGTATTACGTCGTTGGCTTCATAGTAGGGTAGCGCTTCGCCGCCACTTCTCCACCTCAGGAACCGGAGTACCGACGGAACCGGCCCGCGCTGATCTTAGCCTCACTGGATAACTCAGTGAGATATCAAGCCTAGATAAGGCATCTGGTTAAATGGGGAGAGGGGCATTTTCGATGCTACTAAAGCGGCAAAATGAATTAGGTAAACCTTTTTATCAGTAGGTAAGTTCGGAGGTTCAACGCGCTAGAAACTGAGGGAATTAATAGAAGGCGTTTCAGAGAAAAATGACAAAACCTCCTGAGGCTGACATAACGTACCTTGGTCAAGGAGTGTTTACTTGTTTTCCTTCTTTCACTGCCCACCTCTTTCCCTCCCTGCGAAGGGACATAACGGCCAATGCCCCAATGGACTTTTGGCCCTAGTTGATGCCTGGTTCTAGACCGCTTTTTTGACCGCTCTATACAATGTATTGTAAATGAAGCTATCTACGGAGTATGGATGTTTGCTTTATTCTGGCTCGACTAATGAGAGGGTACCATTCTTGCAGGTTTCACAGTATCGCATTTCAATGAATCTGAAGAGCACGCGGTATTGAGAGTTTCACTAACCATCTTCGCCTAAGCAAATGCGGATGAAAACAGTTGCGGTTTCAGCTTCGTAGAATGAGCGGCAAGCGGCTACAAAAGCAACAGCGTTAGACTCAGCAATAGTGTTAAGACTGGATGGAGGACGGAGGTTTACCTTAAGGTAAGCATAAATCGGTGACGCAGGCAGTGCCAAAGGTAAAGAATGGAGGAGAGAAGAAAATACATCCATCGCCAGGTCCGGGGGTTGCATGATATTTTGTATAGTGGGAATAGCTTCATTTTATTGGACTCAGGCACTTTGAGTACTTTGCTTAATAAGAGACCTGTCATTGTAATTCTGGTATTTTAATTTCTGCCTATCTAAAATAAGGAACCAATCAGGCATTTTCAGGGATAAACTAGGTCAAAAAAGTGCATTGGGACATTGGCCGTTATGACCCATCGCACTTCCCACCATACCTTGTCCATATCTTTGAATCCTCAAAGTCGCACTGATATTGCGCGCTCCTTTCCTCAAGGTCTATAATCCACACTAAGCATCATATGGCCGACTCATCGCGATCGGAAACGCCAGAAACATCAGGGCACATCGACAAGTCAGCCGCCGATGCTACTGGCGATGGCCATGACCGCGTCTCACATAAATCAGCAATATCCAACCACAACCCGAAAGCCCCTAATGTAACCATTGATTTTGGAGGCTTATTGTCTCACGGTGAACCCGCTGACCACTCGTCCGCAAAGCCAGCTGAACCTGAAGCTGCAGAATCTGCAGAAGAAGGGGTTGAAAATCCAGAGCGCCCAAAGGGTATCAGATTTGTTATTGTGTACAGCTGCATTCTCTTGGGAGACTTTTTTGTCGGATACGTGAGCCGTTCCTATCTCCTGCAACTTTGTCTTGCGCTGACCAGATTCGCTTTTCAGGACACTAGCTGTGTGACAACTCTGACACCACTCATCAGCGATGAGTTTAAGGCTATTGGCGATGTTGGTTGGTACGGAATTGCATAGTGGGTTTCCCAAACTTATTGTAGTCCCATAGATCCTAGAGACTAACCTTGCGAAAAAGCATCCTCGCCCTGGCCTCAAGCGTCCTCACATTCGGTCAGCTCTACACGATTTTTCCCATGAAAGCAATCTTCCTAGCTTCATTCATTGTCTTTGCCATTGGATCGACAGTTTGCGCCACAGCTCCTTCTTCTATTGCTTTCATCATAGGGCGAGCCATTACTGGTCTTGGAGGTGCAGGCATTTTCTCAGGTGGCACCATGTAAGCTTTCCTGACACCTGAGACGTTTCCATCCTACTGATAAGCTGTCAGCATCGTTGCAAATACAACTTCCCTTAAGCGTCGCCCTATCTATCAGAGTATTTCAGGCGGTATGGAATGCACAGCGCTTGCATTTGGACCTTTGGTCAGCGGCACAATCTCGAACTTTTCATCTTGGAGAATCAGCTTCTATATCATCATCCCTATCGCGGTAGTCAACATCCTTGCCATTTGGCTGTTCGTCAATAATCTTCCACAGCCAGAGCACGCCAATCTTGGAGCAAAGGAAAGATGGCGACAACTTGACCTGCTAGGCATATTTCTATTTGTTCCTATGACCGTTTGTCTGATCCTTGCGCTGCAATTTGGCGGATCAGTATATGCCTGGGGCAACGCACGTATCATTGTGCTCTTTGTCTTGGCTGGGGCTCTGGCTATTGCTTTCTTCTTCGCCCAACGACGAGCAGGCGACAAGGCCATGTTTCCGCTGCACATGCTCAGGCAGCGCAGCGTAACACTTGGATCGGCCTCGATGTTTTGCGTCTCTGCGTCTCTTTTCGTCTTTGGATTTTACCTTCCCATATATTTCCAAGCCATTCGACACGCAACAACTCTGCAATCTGGTCTCATGTACCTCCCTACTGCCCTTTCCTTCGCTATCTCCATCTTTGTGGCTGGGAATATCACATCATGGCTCGGCTACTACACCCCTGTGATGGTCACCGGGACCGCCCTGATGAGCGTGGGCGCAGGATTGATGACATCATTCAGTGAGCACACCTCGACCGTCGAATGGATCTGGTTTCAGATCCTCTTTGGCGTCGGTGCTGGCCTAGCCTTCCAGCAGCCCTATACGGCCATCCAAACCGTACTCCCCGAAAAGCACGTTGCAACCGCGATCGTGGTTCTGAGCTTCACACAGGAGCTCGGTGGCATCGTTGCGCTGGCCGTTTCTCAAAACATCTTCCTTAACCAGCTGATATCAAAACTCAAGTCTACTGTCCCACAGCTGGACCCAGGTTCCATTTTGGATGCGGGAACGCTGAACCTGGTAAACACGGTGCCAGAGGAGTATAAGGGCGCTGTATACTCAGCTTATAATGCGACGATTATCCAGGTCTTTTATGTGGGCGTGGCTTGTGCATGTATGACCATATGCGCTATCGGCATCGAGTGGAAATCAGTCAAGGAGGAGAAGTCTAAAGAGAGCTCGGAAGTAGGCAGTCCAGCATTGTAGAAAATCAAAGTTTATAGCATAGTGAATATAATAATCAGTCGACTTTGTTCATTTCATCTATTACCATGTTAGTATTCAATGAAGATTGTGAAGATTGTACTCAGTAAGAAGGCCATATGAGAATAAATCATTTTTTAGTAAGGTATGGCTCGTCATGTTGCCTCGGAGATAATTTCCATGTAGAGATATCTACGGAGTAGACGTAATATAATTACTCGGATTTCTCAACAAAATTTTACTGGTGATGGATTTGTAAGAAGCACTTTTGTTAAATTCTATCGGAGATTATAAATTACAGGATATGCAACAGGACACCCTAACCTACATAGTACATAGGTACTCCGTACTCCGTACTGAGTTTCAGTTTTAGCGCTCAGGCACCTTATTGGAGTATTTTACAGGAGCACGGCCGGTCCCGCAAATTTGCAAAACGATCTGGGAAACTCCTTCGAATGACTCTATGTTGTACTTTGTATACAATATGGGGATTTCATTACTTCGATTTGGTCCTTAGCATCTTATCTCCGAGCATCGCCTTTTAGGTATATACTAGGAATTCATGCCAGGTTGCTACTGTTTATTGGTGATACTTGTTCTTGCCAGAGCATGACATGGCACTGGGAAGAGACAACGCCATTGCAGAATCGTTCTGCGAATATATATTGATAGGTCATTCAACGACACCAGGTTGTAAGAAGAAAAAAAGACCAATAAGTAGAAAATCTCTTGAGCCGCACTGACTTCGGTGAAAGCACTATTTTCCCTATTGAGGCTCAAGCTCTTTATATAATATGTTGTACGGAGTATGGAGTGGTAACTTGTATACAAGTATGTGGTGCAAACTTGTTGGAAATTCTGCTTCTTTTCTATACTTTCCCTCCCATTTCCCCACGCCAGATTAAAACATAAGTTGCAGTACCCTTGGCGCCGCCAAGGCATGTTAGCGGGACCTTATACGAGATGGGGACACAACGTCGATCACATCCAATTGAGGGCAACCGTGAAGTATCCACTACCAACGAGGCTGTAAACAACTTACTTACCTACTTTGGTAAATTGTAGATTTGCACAGGATTTCAATTTATATGCCAGCTGTGGAGTGAATATGTATAGCCAATAGTATCATTTTCTTTTCCCGCCGCCCATTTCATATACAAGTATATAATGATGCAGCTAAATTGAAAACGGCCCCCAACCCATTCCAAAGTTTTGTATGCGCTAGTAATAGACACGGCCCCCCTTTCCTTCGACGTTTATCACAGACATTGGGATTGGCACAATCTTCCAACCTTGAAACAGCCTAATATAAGCACCAAGCGCCCCCGGTTTAGCCCCAGCTGTTTCTACATTTTTGAAGACCTTACTTTGACACTCTCCCTACTAATTTCTCTATACCTTCAATTGATCTACTGCCATTTTTTCCCTTTCATTTCCAGAGTGATAAGTGACAGATCCGATGTCGGATATGCTGAGTAGCCCATATGGGCTGTCCGTCCGCAGAAACGGCTCCTGTCTCGTCACCGAAGAAGATTGCGGCCAAACCTGGGCACCCTTCCGTGCCTGTTGTCCCGGAGGCACGAAATGCCCAACCGGTCAAACAAACGTGAAGTGCTGCCCATCAGACGCAGACTGCTCCGAGTTGCTTGATGACACACATTGTGCAAATAGCACTGCAAATGTTTTTAAGGCGAATGATTTCTTTTGCTGCGCTGCTGGCATGCAGGCTTTCCAGAAAAAGAACTCATTTGTCGGCTGCACCAATGATACATCCACCTTGGACAGTAATATGTCTCTCTTGAAAATCCGGTATCATGGTATGTGATATTTTGGCGGCCTGGACCTTTGTTACAAAGTCATAGACTTTGAACCGACTTTCTAACCCCCATGTACAGGCTCTACCTCAACAGCCTTGCCATCGTCGACAATATCCAGTACAATTTCCAGCGCCACGACCACTACTAGTACTGCAGATACCACCACCTCTCTAAGCGAGACGGATAATTCGTCATCATCATCATCATCATCGTCATCGTCATCGTCCAATACCGGAGCCATTGCTGGTGGCGTTGTTGGCGGAGTAGCAGGGTTGGCCATCCTGGCTGGTCTACTCTGGTTCCTACTCCGTCGCCGAAACCGGGCAAAGAAGAGCACAGGAGCACCTATAGACCCAAGCCCTCTAATGTCAAGTGCTCCCGGGTCGAGTGTTCATGGATCGAGTGTTCCTGGGTCGAGTGTTCCCGGGTCAAGTGTGCCTGGATCGAGTGTCCCCGAATCGAGTGTCTCCAGACCAAGTGTTCCTGGATCGAACATTGTTGAGTACTACAATAAGGCCCCCGAAAGCCTGGTGCCACAACCACCGCAAGAGCTTGCTGGTCGAGACGAGAATATGATCCATGAGTTGCCATCGCAGGCGGCACATCGTTGATGGCGTGCATGATGTCTAGGTGGAGTAAATACCCGAGAGAAAGGATCATACTCTCTCACATCTTTTATTTTATGAATATGTAATACAACAAACTATTTCGAATTCGGCGCATGTCAATATAGCAGGCCAATTCTGTGAGATTACCCGACATTGCTATTATATCAAGGATCGGACCCGAAATATAGAAAACTAAAAGCGGTCCGCCGGTTCTTACATCTCACTGTCAATATAGCTCCCTGCTGCGGCTAGTGTGGCGTAGTAAAGGTTTGTCTCGGCGCAGATTACCATTCTGCCCTTTCCAGCGAAGTTGAAATTAGCTGTACCAGATCCAAGATAGATCTTGCCGATTAGCTTGCCAGATGGATTCCAGACATGGACACCGTCACCGCAGCCAGCATATACGTTACCCCATGAATCGCAGTGGATGCCTTTTTAAGAGATTAGCCTCAACCACATTAGGTATATTGCTTGACTTACCATCAGGTGCACCGGAGTGAACAAAGGCAAAAGTCTTGCGATTGTCGAGTGTGCCATCCTCTTTCACATCAAATCGGTAGCTATAACACGCAGTCTGTAATTAGCTTTAAGTCCAAAAAGGGAACATTAGAAAAGATAGCACATACATAGAGGCAGGGCGGGTGAAGTCAAGACCGAAGAAGCCGCTATCGATTCCGGTATCGGCGACATATGCGTACTTTCCATCCGGGGAGAAAGTGAGACCTGCTGCAGTGTTAGTTGCACTTTCCTTTTTGAGTATGTACACATCATTGATCCCTTACCATTGGGATGGTCAAACCCATCAGCGACAACTGTCACAGCACCTGTTTCAGGGTTGAGGCGGTAGACTTGATCCTGCAGACCGGGCGCAGGGCGGAAGTCCTGTACATAGCCGTAGATCGTATCTGTGAAGTAGACGTCTTTGTTTTTCGGGTGGATGGCAACATCGTTCAGGGAGTTGAATTGGCGGCCGAAGTAGTTGTTAAGGATAACTAGAGGTCACTTTGTTAACCCCCGAAAGGCAAAAAGATGGTTCTTACTAACTTGTAGCGTTGAATGGACTCTTCGGGTTCATAACCCACAAAGCAGGCGCTTCATTATCACCTTGACCCTCACCGGCGAATATGATCTGTCCCCGATAATTGGTACCCCCTGGAGCACAGTCAGTTGGCTTGACCTTTTTAAAAAAAAGCTGATTGCTTACCATTGGGATTGAGAACCGTCGGCGATGAAGGAACGGTAGTTACATCAACAAGGCCCACGGCATCCGACTTGTGGGAGACAGCAGCTGCGTCCGCAAGAGAAATCTTCTCAATGATAGCCGACTTTTTGAGACCGGTGCTAGCGTTCTTAGCGCCTGCATTTTGGACGAAAAACACTTCGTCTGTCTCCTTGGACCTGGAAGCTAAAGTCAGATTAAATATACCCTTGGTTTGTACTTGATTGACGTGTGGGATACCTACCATACAACCGCCTCATGGAATAAGGGGTCCTTTGGAGAGTGCGCGATCCGGGTCAGGGTTGGAGCTTCTCCGATGATCTTCAAAAATTCCTTGTCGTACACATGGAAAGGTTTTTGTGCTAGACTGTCTCCTGTTGATCCCGGAGGCACAAATAGCTATGCATTGATCAGTACGAGGTGCTACCGGAGACCGAAAAAGAGGAATCGCATACACTTTTCGCATTGAATTCGGTCGGGGGTTGAGTCGTGTTCAGGACATTGAAGGCTCTTTGGTCGATCAACTGCGCTTGAGCAGGAATCTTGGTCGAGCTGACTGGTGCTAGGAAGGATCCTAGGAGCAGCAGCGTAGCTAACGAGGAAAGTTGGCAAGTCATCTTTGAGATAGCGCCAGGTACGTAGAACAATCCTCAAAGGAAGGGGAGATTAGGCATTTATCTCAGGGGGCTGGGGAAGTGGGGATAGACCCCTCATGCCTTTTATTCAGGGACAATATACTGAATTTCTCCGGAATTCCAGTTAAAGCCATGGCGTGTGTCAATTCTCGGAGTTGGCCCGATAGTCGATCGGCCCGATTCGCCGCTGATCGTCAGCGCCGGAGCACGTTGTTGCTGCGAAACACGCCAAGGTGAATTTGTAAGTTCTTAAGGAATTATATAGTGTTCTGATGATTATCTATTGAATATTCGAGTAAGAATATGATTATCAAATGAATTCAAAACAATCGTGAACAGGGTATTGGCGGCCTTGTGGCCTGAGGCCAGCGTGTTTAACCATCCAGGACCTCCTTGAAGACCATATCAATGTCCCTTCCTCCTTGTTCATCATCTATGATTTTTCCTCCAAGACTATCCCTGATACCTCAGATTGGGCCACATCTAAGTTACTACCCGGGCTTTGCCAAGTAGCCCAACACCCGAAGTTACCCCCTTCGGGTGTGAATGGGGTTGGGGTACTTGGCAAGGGCCAGGCAGCCAGTCGTCAAAGCCCTCTTTTAAGCTCATGTATCCATATTTGGATAAGACGTGCGATCTGCAGCTGTGATTATTGAGTGTGTAATTTACGTAAATCCGAGGCATGGATTTAGCGGATTAGGAACAGGCACAGGCTTTCCTCTCACGATATAATGCATCTAGTTCCCTGCGGTCATTTCTTCTTTATGAGAATCAGACATGTTGACTTGAATGCACTTGAATTTTTAGCAAATCCAGGGTCCATTGAGTGTATCACTATATCAGGTGGAATATAAGGATTTCCATTCATCTCTTGTCTAACTAACTTGTACTTCGTGTTTCCTCAAGATTTATACAATGTACAACATGCACATCCCTGTAGCTGGGACAGCCTGGAGCTTTAGGTATTGTTTTTATTGGTCCTTGACATCAAGAGACCACGTGGAAATCACTCTGGCTGATAAAACGATGACGCATGACGATGTCTGCACGTGACTTGATCGTACAATGAAGGCCTAATAAAAGGCACGAAAGTGCACAACTTGACTAGTTATTATTACTCTGTGCGACTATTATTCTATCTTTGCATGGATGTTTTCCTATTTTCTATGGATAGAATGAAACATCATCCTAGCACATGGTAAACGCTCCGTGGTTGTCATTGTGAGAGGCGCCAGGAACAAGACAAAGGCGCAACATGCAAACCTCACCAACAGAATTGCAATAGATAGTTACTTTATCTCTGGTTATACATAGAAAATTCCTCTTTAGAGTACATTCATCCCTTTTACCGCCTTTGTACATTGTACATATTATAGTCTACTCGGTGCTACTTCCTATTATCCCTTTGAAAGTTTTAAACCATCTTGAACCAGATAAATCATTATGTAGTCCTACGTTGAGATTTAAGGACAGAGGCCGCATACACGGCTGACTACTCTAGTTTTTGGATAGGGAAAGTGTCTTCTGATCTAAGTTTTCAATGAGCATCACAGAGCCTAGCCAACTTCTTTCTAGACTAGTCCAGATCATTTACAGGCCTAGACTTGTCTTTTGTCCTAGAAACCCACAATTTTGGCTAAGTCTCACAGGACGGTCACATTAAGGGTCTTTGTTCTGCGTAGCGTCCAACTTTAATCTTGACGGTTTAATCTCAAGAAAAGTCAGTCCAATCTTGGTTCTAAATATCCGACATATTGAGCCTGATAAAACACGCTATGGCTTGTTTCCGCATTTGGGCGATTGCAACATCAACCCCGTTATCTCTTCTAAGGTTCACTCTTCGAACATTGAGTTCTTTATTGCCCCAAATCCGCGTCTCCTTGGTTTAGGGCTGGGAGGTGGCGCTTCAGTGGAACATCGCGGAATAAAAGAATGAATGAAACGATCCACTTAGGGGAATCTAATCCGCTAGAAGATGGTGGCGTTCTGAGAGGTTTAGCGGATGGGTTGCATGTGAAGTAGGAGCCAAGGCTGAATTGCGGCTTTTTCTAATAAGAACTTGAACACTTTTGAAGAGAATTCAAGGAACAAAGTAGTAACCATGGATTGTAAAAGGGGTTAGTGATGATTGGTTACTATATAATCCTTGCCCTGCCAAGATATCACACTGTAATGTGATTGGTTAAATAGCTCATGTTTTGAACCAATCATATTACTTTTCTCCTGGACCACAATGTCAGTGCCCACGGATCACACAAATAGTTCTGCAAAATTTCATCAACAATCAACTTCGGAGAACTCCCGGGAGTGATAGGATGTTTCTAGAATGAAGCAGTGAAGCGTTGAAGGCCATAGTGTTATTATTCATCTCGACGATGCATCTTGACAATGCAGCGGCCACAGTTCTAATCACCCCGGATCTGAGTTCCTGATAGTTCCGTTGCCTTTAGCCCAGGACTAAAACGATCTGATCCCTGTTGGGTCCACACTAGGGCATCCCTTTGGAGTTGGACCCAGACAATGCGATTTGCAAACCTTTCAGTTTCCAGACCGGTAGTCATCTTTGTCGAGTAGCTCATTTTGCAGTCACATTCCTATTTTGTGCACTCTTGATAGTTCTCAAATCTGGTTGGTTTCCTCTGCATTCTGGAAGAGTGGTATATCTCTTAATTGAGAATGCGGAGAATAGGTAACCTTGGAAAGTGCCTCCTGCCCATGTGGTTTTATTCCGAGCTTACTCCGTGCGCATCCATGGATCCAGTGACCAGGTGTCCATGGATATAAAAAATGACTAAGCTTATAATTTGATGGGTCCGCCAATGAGGAATGGTCTGGATTATCTAAAATTCTAGATTTACTGGTGGCTTAAATTTCATACAGATGGGCCCAATCAGACTACATGCATCTACTGTTTGACCCATCGACTGGATCCAACCCCATTCTACCCCTAATGGTGACTACATGTCAAATCCATGGCCTCGACCTTTGTGGAACCCATGGCATACGAGTCCTTTCAACGGTTTGACGTATGCCCAAGTGCGCACCCCCAATGGTTCACTTGGATGGAGCCAGGTACCCGGAACTTTCGGTTCATCTTTTGCTTTCGACTTACGAGGCAAGCGTGGCGGGAGAAGAAGATTCTGTCGTTTTCGAAGGTATATATAGCTGCCCTTATTCTCCTGTCTATTCCCTTTTTTTCAATCAACCACACTCCTTTTGGTACCACCGTTCATTCATTTACAACACTGTCTTTTGAATTCAACCAGAACATAAAACAATCATTCATTGATACTCACCTTCTTTTGTGACTCCACATCCCAAAACAATCTATCAATATGCAATTCGCCAAGTCCCTCATGCTGCTCGCAGCCCTCACCACCGGCACCCTGGCCAGACCCGCCATCGAGCGCCGCCAGGCCACCGCAACCTCGGCCGCCAGCGGCAGTAGCTGGACCGCCACACCCTCTAGCGGCTCATACTCTACCGCTGGATTCGGCAGCTCTACCAGCTCATCAGGCTCAGGCGCAACATACGAAGGCAACGTGGGCAATCCCTACGGCAGCAACATCATCGCCGTTGACGCCTCGTCCGCCAGCAACTACAAGTACGTGGCGCAGTTCACTGGCTCGAACACCGAGGACTGGACCGTTGCCATCTTCAACAAGTACGGCCCTGATGGCGGAATGACAGGCTGGTACGGTAACGCCTGTAACACTTTCACTCTTGCCGCCGGCGAGACCAAGTACATTGCCTTCGATGAGGACTCCAATGGTGGCTGGGCCGCCGCCGCCGGATCCACCATCCCCACCGATACCCTGGGTGGCTACGCTTCCACCTGGGGCGAGTTCGACTTCGGTTCCACCACCAACAATGGCTGGTCTGGCTTCGATGTGTCGGTTATTGCTGCGCAGAATGCCGGCATGTCCATCTCTGGTATGCAGATCTGTGATGCCCTTGGCTCTGTTTGCTCTTCTGTCACCCAGGATGCCGCTACGGTCAACAACGCTTACACCTCCGCTGAGACTGATGTCGGTGGCATTGGTGGCAACTTGTCCTCTGGCCCCGTTCGTCTGGCTGTTACTATTGATTACAGCGGATAAATTTTGTTTTCTTTGAGATTTGATTTTATATGATTTTGAAGATAGACTCATGGATCATTCTGTTTCGGAGGATGGTTTATACCCAGCTGGAATGGTATCTGCTTCTATGTCAATATAGAGACTTTTAGGCTGGTCCTCTTTTTTGGTTATACAAAATATAACACATTCTTTCAAGTGCTTCTTTCCATTGTAGAACTCGAGGAGGTCCAAGTTCTATTTTTGGGGTTCTTACTTGGGGAGTTTCAGATTTCTGCGTGGCGTTAACATACGCAATCGCCCACTACGTAGCCGCCACGTAACGAGTCCATATTCAGCCGGGCAGGAACCACGCATGTTTCAAAGTAAAGATGAAAGATGAAATTAAGGATAAAAATAGAGTTAAACTCAAGCTCGTTCCATTCTGAGATCCATTCATAATAACGTTGGAGTATATCGACAAATTCATTACTGACTTCATGTCCCCTGACCCAATCCCATCAGACCATAAAGAAAAAAAAAAGAAAAATTACTTCCGTGAGCTAACAAGACCGTAGAACTCAAGCGGCTTGATACTGAATGCACCATTTGACTCAAGCTTGTACTTGGGGTCCGCCAGCTCAAACGTGTTCTCCTTAATAATGCTGGCGAGAGTAAAGAACGACCACCGCCAAGCCCAGAGCTTGCCAATGCACTCACGCTTGCCGTTGCCGAAGCCCTTCTTTGCGGCAGCAGGGAGCTGATCCCACTTCTCACCTAGAACACGCTCAGGCTTGAAGGCCTCGGGGTCCTCGAAGACAGCCGGGTCGCGGTTGACCTGACTCAAAACCGCGATCATAGGCTGGTTGTGAGCAATTTGGTACTCGCCACCGGCAAGAAGGATAGGGCTCTTATCGTCGGAGGGAATGGGCTCGATGTTGAAGCCAGGTGCGGTGGCAGAAAGACGGATCGACTCGCGCAGGATGGCCTCGACGTAATTCAGGCTCTGCAAATGCTCCAGGTCGATATTGCCGTCGCCGACTACACGGTCGATCTCCTCCTGCGCCTTGGTGATCTCGCTCGGGTTCTCCATCAGGTAGTACAGGGCGTAGGAGACAAGGTTAGGTGCTGTGGCAGCACCGATGAAGATTGAAATGATCTCATCGATAACCTGCGACTCGGAGAGCTTCTCGCCACTTTCTGGGTCGGCGCCGTTCAGCATCGCATCCAGGATGTCCTTACGAGCAGTCTCTGGCTGCTCTTTCCGGGTCTTGATTACCTGCGCAGCGAACCCGCGCATGGTATTCGTGTCTTTCTCGAATCGGCGCTGGTACAGCCAGTTCAGTAGCTTAGGGCGGGTGGGTCGCTTCATCGCCTCCATGGTGGCGCCCTCCATGGCGCTGAGCATAGGTGGCTCAGCGCCTTCAAGCACGTGCACGCGCTGGTTAAAGAAACATTGCATGCAGGATGCAAGTAGGAGACGGTCTAGGTCTCTGGTGAGCAGGGTCCGTGTCTTGGTTCCTGCGCTCCACTTTTTGGTCAGGTCCGGGATGACCTCCGCCATGTCAACGAAGAGGTTGTCGGTCGCAGATTGCGTAAGATGAGGCATCATGATCCGGTGGGCGATACCCCAGCTCTTTTCGTAGTCGTATGCTGTGAACAGACTGTCATGCACGGCATATCGAATTGCGACTACTGGTCCCGTAACACACTTGCGGAATCGGGTCTGGTCGCAAATTTCTTCCAACAGAGCGACACTGCCGATGAATACGATCTCATGGCCGAGAGCATTGATCTTGAAAATGGAGCCTAATGAAATTAGTGATTACTCGTTGGGGCTAGAAGTTGCCCGGGTCCGCGGACGGGTTGCTGTCATACCAAATTCCTTGGCCAACTTGTTGAGTGAGTTCCACGTCTCATTGGGGTTGACATCAAAAATATTACCCAAGAGGGGAACTCCGGGCGGTCCTGGGATTTTGGTAGGCATTGTCGCTGGGGCAAAAACGATGGGGGATATCACTAGTATACAAAATCAAATATCGAAAAGCCAGAGAGGAAAAGAGCTTCAGGCCCTCGGCGGGCGGGGGAAGGAGTCTTAAAAAATCAGCTCTCAATTTTAGTCTGCATGAAAGTCTGCATTGTTTCCCGATCGGCAGATCGAGGTGACCAGGGCCATTGGCGCAAGAGGAATCTTGCGCTCGGCCTAAGTCTCCATCGTTCACAAGAAGTTTGTGGACAGCTGAAGGATCGGCGCGATTGCGATGTAATAGCGCAGATTGGCGGCGCCGATCGCACTAGGATAGGTAGTCCACCAGGCTATCTGGAGCCCATCTGCAGCCATCTGGGGCTACTGGAGTAGCTAAAGCGCGCTACGGGCTGTAGTGCAACCAGTGAGCTCAATAGGGTTCAGCACAATTGTCAGCCGGAATATTCTGCAGATTTTTCTACTTTGTACTCCGTATGGCTAACTCGATTCGTCTTCACGCATCTTGACCGCTTCTGTGTAGCATTCTCCTTGCAATGACTAGGCATCGTTGATCATTGTGTGAGAGGGGTAGGATGAACATCGCACAGATGTTCGTTGTACGTACTTAGTAGAATGTACATCGTACAGAATTTTGGAGAGGTCGAATCATGATCAAAGCATGACATGTCTGTCAGGCTGATTGGTAGATGGTGACTGACATCATACCAGCCTCCTCAAGTATTCTCCAGTCATCTGCGGCATCATATTCTGTAGGGGGGGATCAAGGCCCGTGCTGTGTAGATAGCATCCATCCAATTGCCGGATTTGATTCTGGGTCAATTCCCCCGCCTATCTTTTCAAGGTCAACAACGATTAATGAGGAAGTGTGTTGTATAACGTTGGTGTATCTTGTAAATTTGTGAAGCTTCTATTCCGTAGATTTGGAGCTTCCTGGGACCCTTCTATGGACGCGAGTCACGTGAGCCATTAGAGTGATGATGACTACATGGATTCTCTTCTCACAGGTCCGCTATTATTTAACTGCTTGGACATAAGAGATACTAAGATATGTGTCCCAGATCCCGGGTTCTCACTCAGTAGTAACTGGATTTGTGTATATCCAGGAAATAGTACAGCATCAACATAAATACGTCTCTAACCTAGAACCCAAAGCTGTCCAGCAACGAATTGGCATCCGGCTCATGAAACATCGTAGGTGGTGGTTTGGGCTTCGGTTTTTGTTCTTCTTTCATCGGTTGCTCGTCGGGTGTGGTTTCAGAAACGGCAGGTTTCTGCAAGATATCTGCTCGGTGCACCGGCATATCAGCAACTACGAGGCTGCTCCGCCGACGGAGCAGTTTTCGGTAATCGACTCCGTTCTCATCCATCTCTAGGGAGGTACCAGGCTTCAATGCATCCTGAGTAGGGAGTCCGCCCAGGAACTCCCAGTGGCGTACCAGATCAAGAGCGAGCAGGTCGCAACCCATACGGTCGTAAAGTCGGGCATTGCGGATAATGAATTCCCATTCTTCTCTGGGTCGCACTTTGGAGGCCCCTTTCAGGGTTTGGAGTGTCTTTTCGCGGAGTTGTTGGTATAAGACTACCAAGGCAGGGTCGTTGGAAAGATATGACTTGGACTGAAGGGTTACCCGCCCCGGACTTCCCGGGGTGGCTGGGGTCGTTGTTGGTGATAGGAGGGTCTCGACCGGGGACTAGATCTGATTAGTTGGGGGCTGGCGGCCGGAGAAGAAAAGGACTCACAATCAGTGCCCGCACTGCCATATCCCGTCGTCCAAGCATCCAGAAAGCCCAAGAGGCCATCCAGCGGTTGCCCTCGGAAGCGGCTTCGGGTAATACTTTCTCTTCCAGTATCTCCCGAAGAACCGGTCCGTTGTCCCCTTCTGAGGCTCGAGTGATTGCGATCGCGAGCTGGATGTCACCCATCTGGTTTATGATGACGTTTGCAGCGTCACGTAGATGATCGGCGAGAAGGAAGAAAGATGCAGCATATTCTATTGAGTGTTAGCTGGCAGTGCTCAGTAGTAAACAATATGAGGTTCCAATTACCAAATCGTCGCTTTCCAAGCAATGCATAAGCATTTTTGAGCGCAGATGTCCTCCATCGTGGTTCCTTGAAATCATTTGCCAATAAACGTTGGGTTGCTGCCTGTTCACGGTTCCAGTGTGCAATACGCCAGAGACCCTGAAGGACGTTCTTCTTTCCCAGGGCGAGGTAATACAAAGTACAGTCAATAGGGTTTTTCTCTTCCGTCTTGGTGTATTCACATCGGGCAAGGATTTCGAGTTGTGCCTTCTAATCAACCGGTTAGTCCGTGGCCAAGGAAATGATATGACAGACACGCACCACAGCTACGGGATCCGATAGCCACATGAAGAGACCGCTTTCACGAGCAGCCTTCCAAGTCAATTTTCCATTGAATTGCCGGGAGACAAGATCTGTGAGAATATCTTGGCTGCTGCTGTGGTAAGCCCAAACGATCTCTCGCCATGAGACAGTGTCTTTGTTGGCGACTCCTTGAGTCCGCCGCAGCATATGCTGTCGGAAGAATAAAAGATAGCGTGCTGCATTATCGTCCATTGAGCGCCGATGCTTCTCAACCATTGCAACGCATTCAATGGTATCTGCCAAGCGGAATTGCTCGTGGCTAGACAGCTGCGGCAAGGCGATCCGTGCTAAACTCTCATTGAGCGCGGCCGCGGTGTTCTCATCTACGACAGACAACAATTCTTCACCAGTGGAGTCGACGTAGGAAGAGCGCGTTTCCTTGGAGATCGCTTGTTGGGACCCCTGAATTTTGTTAGTATTGGGAAAAATATAAAAGATGTGCACTTACATCTTGCTTGTAGAAATATTCTACCGGCATCTCTAGGAAACCATCTAACTCGTCGCCCTCGGTGTAGAACTTCAGCTTGCGATGTAGGTTCAAGAGAATCGAATGTACCAAGCTAGTCTTCCCAGACAGAATACACTGTGCCAAGTACTGTGGATGGAATACAGGCAACGGGCCATTCAGCCGGCTGACAACGTCGAACATATCGACAGACGACAGCCCTCGGGACGGCATCCGGAGCTCGCACACTAGACGATCTCCAACATCAATATCCTTGTCATAAACGAACAGTTGGTTGCCAGCCCCAATGACTAAATGGCCGTTATTTAGCCAGCAAGAGTCTCCTATAGGGTGAGGTGTGAGATCTCGGATCCAGATCTCCCGAACTTGTGTCCACGAAGGCCGGGAATCTAGATAATCATAGCGCAGCTGAGATAAGAGGACAACCTTGTGTGGGAATCCCACCGCCAAGATGGACTGTTTGTCTGGTGTTGATGTCCAGTCCAAATCCCGGATAATGTCATGTGAAGCAAAATGTTCCTCAAACTCCAGCTGAGCATTGTTGGTGTCCCAAATTGTGAGGTGAGTCCGGTCCTCGTCAACCAGAGCTGCCTTGCGAATAGAGCTTCCACTAGCCATAGATGGGTTGGTGATGCCTGTATTAACGGTGGATTGAAGTAGCCAATCGACCTTCGCATACGTTGGATCGACCGTGGCTGTCCATGTCCGCACAACTCCACTGTGGGTGTAAGTGAGAGCAATGTCGGCAGAAAAAGAATCGAAGAACCCCGATATTTCTGTTTTGGGGCCTGCTGGGTCCACAGGAAGGATATATGCAACATCCTCCCTAAGCCCCATGTCAAAAGTGCAAAATTCTCGTAATTGATAGTCATGGCCATTTACAAAGCTCCCTTTATGGCCTTCCCGACTTGGGCCTCGTATTTCCCACGCGATTCCGTGCATGTCTGCCCATATCGTTGCTACATAGGAAATGCCTGGAGTCGCTTGGGTGCTGGGGATTGGCAGCACACATAGTGGCTTCCCGGGGAGTGTGAATGGCAGAGAAGCCAATTTCTTGGCTTGATTTGAGCTGAAATCCCATAGGGAGACCCCATTGTGGTGGAGATTGACGAGAAGATCACTGTTCTCCAGCACACATGTCCGATGAATATGCTCATCCGAGAGGAGGATGCTCTTGTGTGCTAAGATCGATCCCCCGTCTCGACGCCGCTGTGTCCATACAGTGGCTTTGTTTTCGTTGGTACGTGACACCAGTGTATCTCCAATCGCATTCCGGACGATCTTTTTCACAGGGGCAGTATGGCCAGACCAAGAAGCCGTTTGAGTAATTCTTTTTGTGCGGGGTGCAGGATCAAATAGAACATCCACATGGGAATCATACCACTCGATCCGACCGTCGAAGTGATGGACCAGAACGCTGAGCTTGTCGTCAGATGTTGTACTCTGGAATGCATGAATCTGAGCATAGTCTTCTTGTGGTAACTGATCCAATGCAAATCCCAAGTCCAAGCCTTCGACATGGAGAATATTGAAGACGCTCAATTTTGTTTTCGCCTTAGAACCGATATCTTCCAAAGCCCAAGCGGACATGTGGCCCTGGCCATCAATGACAACACAGATCTCCGGAGCCTTGCTTGCAACCTCGATTATGTGTTCTAGCGCATGGTTTTCCTTGTTTCCTGTAGTCCTCTGAACAGCACGCTCAGTCGCAACACAGAAGTCACGGCTATCCAAGATAAACCCATATCGCCGTTGCGGTCCTTGGTCCTCATCGGACGCATGTCTAGGTTGTACCGACTCACCCATGTCTATTTCTGCCCAGAACTGTAGAGCAGAAAGCGCATGAAGGTCCGTGACAGCCCATACTCGAATCTTGTTATCGGCGCAAAATGTATACAGCACATTATCCATAGATTGCTCGGGGTGCCGAGGTAACCGCCAGTGTATCCCGGTGACGACATTCGGATGAGGCAGATACGAGTTCTCGAACCGAACCTCGTCTGCGCCAAAGGCAAGTCGTCTCCATACCTTGACTAAGCGGTCATAATGCCCTACTGTAACAATCAAGGATGAATCTGGGGAAAATTGCGCGAATTTCACGGGGGTTGCAAGCTTTCTTTTCCATACAAGGCGTGGTTCGTCGTTCATAAACCAAAGGGCGAGGCGGGAGTTGCCCACCAGGAGCTCGTTCGAGGAACCCCACGATAAAGTATAGATCGGTTCGTCGTCATCGGGGGCGCGGAATGTATAAAGGAGCGACCACTAAATGAAGCCATATGTCAACATCAATGTTATTGCCATTATGAGAATGTGTTGCTGGTCGACTAAGCTCCGAGTAGTGGGGTTGTATGCGCACCTTGAGAGTCTCGCCTTGGATGCCATATGGCTGGTACACGAACACATCAGGGCCGCCGCAAACTGCAATCTTGCCAGATGTCTCGTCAAAAGCTACGGCCTCGAGCGTATCTGTATCGTCGACGTAGATCGTTTGGAGGAGCGTTTGCGGACCGCCGAGGATAACCAGCGCGTGGCCGGAGATGTATGCCTATTGGAAAACGCGCGGGGGCAAGGGTCAGCAACAGGGGACTTCAAACGAGCCGCAGAGCTGAAGCGAAAATTTGGCAGGAGTTCAGAGTACTTACAACAACACGAAGACCATCCCACAGCGCCGTGCTGAACGCCTGGAGCTTCGCTGGGGGCCTCCCCGGCAGTACCGCTCGCATAGAGGTGGTTGGTTCGGGAGTTTGACGCTCGTTGCGCTTGAAAACACGTTACAACATTGCCAGCTCAAAGATTATTATGTCTGGGAGTAGCCAGAGTCGCAAGGGAAACGGGGTGTAGAAGAAGGGTGTTTGGGGAGTTGTCTGGACGCACGCAGGGGACAAGGCGGAAGAGAGACCTGGAGACCCAGTCGATTACGCTTCCGCTCCACTCGGTATGACTGATGACCCTCGACTTGAACAACGCAAAGGAGCTAGGTAATATAAATATGTTGTGGATTCAGCAATTGCTATTGCTTACAGTGATAAATTTGTATTCAAAGAGCTCCAAGTTATCTGGGGGATAGCTACAGAGCTCCCCGATAAGCATTTACCTATATCTGACATCGGATCGAGTAAATGCTATAACTAGTGGATTATTATTATTACACATCTCATTGAACGAACCTGCCTTGCACTACAACTTTTTTGAAAAAGACCATTTCATAATTTGAGTTTCACATTCAATCGTGGCAAAAGTGAAAAAGAGTATACCCAAGACCCAGAAACCCCTGAACCCGCTATATGTTGCGCCGGATGATGCATTGAATGAAACATGATCGCACCTATCGACAGGGAATGGTAGAAAACAAAGTATAACCATCGCTGATGTACATGAAGGAAAAGCAGCTGCGAAGAGGTCATATACCGAAGAAGGACGTCAAGATCGTCGATTCGCTGACCTGCGACCATCTGTCGGAGACTCGGGAGGTTCTTCATCCACAAACCGGACGCTATTTCCCACTGAGCTTCGCCGACCAGTCCGTGGCTGTTTTGAAGAGGTGGATAAAGCAGTCGAAGTCCCAGCCCGAAGTAGTCGACTTGCGAAAGGTGTGCGTAAGGGTGTGGCAGGGGTGGTGGACATTTGGGCGAGGGCTCGCGCCCGGGCGGCCCGTTTAGAGGGAGAGGTCGTGAAATTGGGTGTTGCCAATGGGCTTGCAGAGATCGGATCATGGGAGGTTGCCTGGGAGGTTGCCTGAGATGTTGCCGTGAAGTCGCTTATTTTGAAGGGTGTTTCTGCCTGCTCTTGATACCAGGGGTCGAACATCGCTGATCCGGCGCCATCGCCATTTCCAAAGGTTGACATTCGTGCAGGAGTGAAGGTTGGACCGGCCGAATCTCGAGCCTCCAGCTTCATTCGGGCCTTGTCCACCCAATCGCGGAACATGTTTCTCGAGTGCTTCCTCAGATTTCTTTCCCGCATGGCTTCGGCGGTCTCGGCGGTACTGCCCATCTGGAAGATACGAAGGCTGAGCTTGCGAAGAGAAGCTGCCGCCAGTCGTAGAACATGCAATCGGTATACATTGTCTGCTTGGTCTTCTAACTCACGTCGAATGATGAAGGTTTCGGACATTTGCATCATCTGATCAAATGCGAGTTGTCGGAAATAGGAATCGTCGGCTTCCTGGCAATCCTGAATTCTCTTGGTTGTTTTGCCGTGCCATTGGACGAATATCTCGGACGTGTCGGCAAGCACTTTTTCGCGATCAATATCACCAGCTTGTTGTTCCATCTCCATGATGATACGAGTTTTTGATGACCAGGCAGCTAACGCCTTAGACGCAAGATTGACCTTGATATGCCGCCGAACTTTAGCATACGATTCTTGCCGCCGTCGTTTGCCAGAGTCCACTTTGGCCTGATGCCATTGCTTCATGAACTTCTTCATCAAGAAATAGAATCGAGCATCTTGAGCCCATCCTTCCATCTTCACCACTTGATTATGTTTGGATCGCCAGATCGTGAGAGACTCAGCTGCAAGCCGTGGCGCGTAGAACTCAGATGCTACATACTCCCGCTCGCGCTGAAGTTGCACTTGATCACGCCAAATAGCAAATTTAGATCGAACCAAGTTTTCAGCCTGATGGGCTTCATAGGCTTCCGCATGAAACAGTAAACGAGTGTAAGTGTCCCGGGTGTTTGTCACAAATCGAGAAAATACTTCTCGCTTGATGCGTTGCTCGCGTATCCTTCGCATCAGCTCGAATCTTTCCATTAAGATCCATTTGTACATCGCCTCCATTTTGATCCGCTCGTCAATTCGAGCACGAAGAGCCAAGCACCGGAGCGTATCATTCCAGGAGATCCACGCGTTTTGTTGTATTCGATGGCGATCTGCCTCTTCTGCCTGTCTGATTATTTCGATCTTTCCAATCCATTGTGAAAAGGCGTTTCGTAGAATCCTAGTATCGACCATCTCAGAGACTCGAGAAGCAGCTGGGGCCAGCCGAGACTGAATTCTCCATTCATCAAAGGTTTCTCTGAGGTCATGTTGGCGCCGAGAAGCCTGGACTTCCTGATCTGCAACTGCAATGGATTTGGATTGTTGAGACCATATCTGAAGTACCGACTTCAGAGATGACCGTTTGTTGTGCAGGTCTATTTCATGGTCGCGCTCTCGATTGGTTCGCAAGTTCCGAAGCCAGGAAAGAAGTGACCGTCTTTTGAGTCGGTAATCGGAAACCTCAAGGACACGCCGGTCACAGAAGCACCACCACCAGTCCCAAAACGCTGCTTTTTGAATCTTTGTGTTGCGTACACTGACTGCTTGTGTCTCTGCTGCCTTCAAGTCTTGGATCTTCTTCCGCCATGCATTGAAAGGCCTCCGTAGCGCAAAACGCTGAGCCTTCAACTCATTGACGGCAGTGATCTCGCGCCAGGCATTGAAATATTTGACGCCAAGTACATGTCTCCGGGCAGCAGAGGTCCGAGCTACTTCTTCCGACGTGAGTTGGGCCCAGTGACTGAACGCTTTTGTCATCAGATATAAATCCCGTGCGCGACAGGCACGCGCTTCAAGGTGTTTGAAGAACCGATCTGTTCGAGCCGAGTGGCGTTTTTCTTGAATGACCCCTCGCCATGGATCAAACGCTTGCCGGAGAAGAAGGCCTCGATCGTAATTGACAGCAAGTGTTTCCCTTGTTTGGCGGGTCTGTCGCGCCTGAAAGGCTTTTTTCAGCCATTGTGTCAAAATTCGACGGCAAATCGATCGCTGTCGGTACATGTTGAACGTCGAAGCATCCCGAAGTAGATCCGAAAGTTGCGGGCGATAAATGAACTCTGGCGGTACCTCTTCTTTGTCAAAAGAATCGTGTTCTGGGCTCTGCGACATGATTGATTGCATATCTTCGGACTCAGAGGTATCTGAATCGTACGAGGGTGAGCGACGGGGACGTGATGATTCGGCCATTCTCCTCGAACGATCACGAGCAACGGCTGATCTCGCAACTACTCCATTAGTCAAAGGGGGTTCTTCCGTTACTCCGTGCTTGTTTTCTGTTCCATCAAACCTGTTAAGCAATCGCCGACCGACATCCAAAAATTGGCTGATTAATTGTGTCCGATCTGGCGATTTGATAGGCCCAGAATCATGCCTCGAGGTAGGTGACAGTTTTGGTTTAGAAAACTCGGGCTTGCCAATTTCAAGTCGCGACATTGATGATCGAGAGCTAGGGCGATTGATTGCACTTCTCTGTGTAGCATCCTCGCCAATGTCGTACGTAGTGTTGAACGATGCGCGCCGTTTGGGTGTCGGTGGTACCCCATTCGCAAGTGGTGAATGCCCATGATCATGGTCATGGTCAACCGCTTGGCTGTGGGTAACATCCACTGTATATTGATCATAGTCATGTGTCTCATTAAGGTTCGTAGAGCCGTCATCGCCGATTTCAATTACGATTCCCATCTGCTGGAGCGCATTTTCGAATTTGTCGAAAAGAGTCTCGCCGCGTACACCTTTGCTTCCCATCTTAAATAGGAAGCGCAGGCATGCATGGCCTGGGTCCGCGTTGACGCCATGTTCGCCAACGACTTCGTCGTATGCTTCAAAGAGCGCCCGGAAAGGGAGTCGATCCGCTTCGGGTTTTGTCTCGGCGGCAGCGATAACTTGGTAGAGAAAGCCGACATCTATAGAGGTCAGGTTCTGATTGAATTAACGAGTGATTTACTGCGCCATACCATCGTCTGAAAGCGGTGAGATCTCTTCGGTCACGGCTCGACGCTGAGAGGATATCGGAGGCATCGAAAATTCGCGATCTTAAGGCGCGCTTGTCGCATCTGGGTCATAGAGCTGCAGGACCAAATAAATCATCGCGAAAGCGGGGAGCGCCGAGGATGAAAGACATGCGCGGACAGAGGCACTCTGCAATCAGCAATTCCAAAAGAATAGGAAAAATAGACCAAACCCATGCGCCATCAATCGAAGTAGCAGTGGGCTGAGCCGGTTGTTTTGGTTGTCGCGACAGAAACATGCAGGACGGTCACGTGGTCTTATGTAACATTCTTGATCTCCAAGCCTTGGAGGTCCTATTGGCTTCACATCGGAACATTAAGCTACTTTGCATTTCAGGGCTGCATCCTCACTTCGCCCTTACAAGATGCCGGGAAGAACTCGTCCAGTCGAGAAGATTGCTAAGGCTTCAGCCCAATGTTCCGTAGAGGTGTGTAGCTTGTGTTCACGTCATCTCCGTATTGCCAAAACTGACTAGCTTGATAGGTTGCGGCATATGGCAAGTGTGTTGTTACGGATTACAACTCTGTACATAAAGATATGTGCGTCAAAGAGTTTATGCGACTGAAGGATTGCTACCTGGTAGGTGATGAGAGAGTGTTGTGTCGTTTGACACGCTAACCAACCCCAACAGGCGGCGTCCAGAAAGGGCTAAAGAAAGGTTCCTTGGAATTATGTGTTGGAAACATCAGAAGCACTCAAAGATTTAGAGCTGTTTGGGTATTGCGGCGCAAGCAGGAGCATTTGTAAAGTATTCTACGCTAGGTATTGAAGGTGAACTATTGATGAAAGACCATATAATTTCATTCAAAGCAACAAAAAAAATAGTTAAAAAGTAGACTTGATATCTACATATGCTCTTTTGGTTAACTTTCTAAAGCTTAAGAAGGCGCAACAAGAAAGTGGCATTTTGCACCTCCTGTTCTTCCTGCGAGATGGTGCCCTCTTCCTCTCCGGTAGGAAGCTTATCGCCACCAAATGCACTCTGCTCAACTGGGCGGCGCAGGACCTTCTCAATGGCTTGAGCCTGGGACTTGAAAGCCTCATTAATACCAATGTTGTCCGGATCCGAGATCACGGTGTATTCCATTTTCACATCATCGGTGGGAACAAGACCAGCCTTCTTCCGAAGGCGTTGAACTCGGTTGATGATCTCGCGACCCAAACCCTGATGAGCCAGCTCGGCGTACAAGTTCACATCGAGAATGGTCAACACGTCAGCATCCGTGTTGGTTTCCATGCCCTTAGAGCTGTCGGTCTCCTTGATTCCTCGCTTCACGACGAGGTCACCCTCAACGAGTTCAATGCCATCAACCAAGATCTTCTTGTCCGCGAGATATCCCTTCACGTCATTGCTAGTGAGAGAAGGCAAAGCCTTCTTAACTGTTTGAACAGCCTTCTTCAGCTTCTTTCCAAGCACAGGCCAGTCAGCGGACACTGAGTATTCGACGTCGTATTTGGCTTCGTCAGAGGAGAGAACAAGCTCCAAAACGTTAAGCTCTTCAAGAATGTAGGGCTCAAGGGACTTGACATCTTCGAGATATTGCGGGTCATTATGAATCACGACAAGTGACTTCAAGGGGGTCTTGAGACCGATAGTCCGACGTTCGCGAGAGATACGGCCGAGTTCGATGATAATCTGCATCCGAGAAACTCTGCGTTCAACAACTTCATCAAAGAGCTCTTGGCGCACTTCAGGGAAGGGAAGGAAGTGCACGCAACGGCTGTCTTCGGCGCGGAGTGACTCTGGAATGTGGGGAAGAAGGCGCTGGTAGATGTTGTCGGTGATGAATGGAGTGAATGGAGCGAGACCTCGGACAAGAGTGTAGAGAACCTCAAAGAGAGTGTTCAGGGCGTGCAATGTGTCATCAACCCCATTTTCACCCTTAAGTCTCTTGCGGTTGAAGCGAATGTACCAGTTTGTCGTGTTGTCGATCAACCCTAGGAGGCGTGGGACAACAGTATACAGACGGTAAGCGGCCATCTCCTGGTTAATGAAGAGGAGTAATGATTGACAGCTGGCAAGGATCCAACGATCCATCACGTTTGTGTTAGTGCTCTCTGCTGCAGGATCAAAGACAAAGTCGATGTTGGAAGTCTTCTTCAGAAGAGTCACCTGACCCTCGAAGAACTTGTAGCTGTTCCACAATGGGAGAAGCACTTTGCTGACGATTTCCTTGACACCAGTTTCTTTGAATCTAAGGGGCTCAGCACGAACGACAGGGCTGTTGATCATGTACAATCGAAGAGCATCCGATCTGTTTAGACAATGTCAATGAAAATTCGTATAGGAAACTCCTGAAGATGAACAACTCGGGACGAAGAACTGCGGAACTTACCCGTATGAGTTCATGATCAGCGATGGGTCGGGGTAATTTTTCAATCTGTAGAATTAGCATAATTAGAGAGGGTTCAGGTCATGCTCATATAGCGATGCTGTTTACACACCTTTTAGACATCTTTAGACCGTTCTCTGCGAGGACAATGCCATTCACCACTACATTCTTGTATGGTAGCTTTTGACGCAAGTGGACTCCGATAACGCTAAGTACATAGAACCATCCTCGTGTTTGACTAAAAAGCCAATATTAGCGTGTGAAACTCGGCAGAGACGGGAGAAAATGGGTGACTTACTCGAGGCCTTCGGCGATAAAGTCTGCTGGGAAGCGGTCCTCAAACTCATCTGCACCCTCAAAGGGGTAGTGGACACTTGCAAAGGGCATGCTTCCTGATTCGAACCAGCAATCAAAGACCTCCGAAACACGTCTCAAAACGCCATTTCCTTTCGAAGAAGGAATCGTGATGTGATCGACCTTATCACGGTGAATATCGGTGAGCTCGCCCTCATAGCCACTCAATTCTCTAAGCTGCTCGATACTACCGACAGCAACAACTTCTGAGAAATCGTCACTAACCCACAATGGCAACGGCGTTCCCCAGAAACGGTTCCGAGAAATGTTCCAGTCATGAGCGTTCCGAATCCAGCTGGCAAATCTCCGTTCCTTAACATTGGAGGGAACCCAGTGAGATTTCTCAATGCCATCAAGGATGTCAGGAATGATAGGCTTAACCTTCACAAACCAAGATGGCACAGCACGGTAGATTAGAGGGGTATCGGACCGCCAGCAGAAAGGATAGCTGTGAGTAATTTGGCTGTCAACAAGAACACGACCATTGCCCTTTAGGAGCTTGATGATGCCCTTGTCAGCAGCCTTGACGTTTTGGCCGACAAAGTCCCGGACTTCAGCGGTGAAACAGCCCTGCGGATCAACGGGGTTGGGAGGAAGACGAGTCTCGGAAATGACGCCGTGGTTCATGGCAACTTGGTAATCCTCCTCACCAAAGGCAGGAGCCTGGTGAACAATACCCACACCATCCTCGGCAGTGACATATTCATCATTCAGCACCTGGAAGCCACAGTCCTTGAATTCTTCATAGAAGTAATCAAAGAGGGGCTGGTACTTCCATCCGAGCATGTCGGAACCCTTGATGCGGTCGACAATCTTGAACTTGGCCTTCTTCGGGTCCTTGTAGATAGTCCGAAGAAGAGCCTCGAGGAGGATGTAGTTTTTCTTTGTAGCCTCGTCGTAGATCTTGACGTACTCGAAGTTGGGGTTAGCACACAGACCGGTGTGTGATGGAAGCGTCCATGGGGTGGTGGTCCATGCAAGTAAGCATGTCTCGGGGTCATCCAACAGAGGGAATGTCACAACAACGGCGGGGTCCTGGACATCCTTATAGTTCTGCTGCGCTTCGAAGTTACTGAGAGGCGTATTGAGGGCGGTCGAGTAAGGCATAACACGGTATCCACGGTAGACGAGGCCCTTATCGAAGAGCTCCTTGAAAACCCACCAGACAGATTCCATGAATGATGGGTTCATGGTCTAAATGACAAGAAAAAAGCATTAACACAAGGGTGCGGAAAATCAGAAGTACTCGATCCCACCTTGTAATCGTTATCGAAGTCAATCCAGCGACCCAATCGCTCGATGGTTTGGCGCCATTCTGTCGCGTATCTCATAACAATCGACCGACACTCCTCGTTGTATTTCTCGATTCCGATCTCTTGGACCGCCTGCAAACCAGACATGCCCAATTTTTTGTCGATCTCATATCTAAATTGTGTCAGCCAAACCTGAGCTATACAATATTGAGCAAGTCTTGTCTTGAATTGAACTGAACTTACTCAATGGGAACACCATGCGTATCCCAGCCAAAACGGCGCTCCACATGGAATCCCTTCATAGACCAATAACGGGGGATCACATCCTTGATTGTCTAGTAGAAAGTATTAGAAATGCTTACAGCTCATTCGCAAAATGTTCGCTGTAATCTTACCGAAGCAAGCAAGTGCCCATAATGAGGGGTTCCAGTAGCGAACGGAGGGCCGTCTAGGAATCCATAGCGAGGCTTTCCAGCCGAAAGTTCAACTTGGCGTTTGAAGGCATCGATCTCCCTCCACCGAGCGAGCACGAGTTCTTCTTCCGCAGGAAAATCCATGACGTGGTGACTCCAGTGGTGTAGGAGAGAAAATTGACTACAACTAACAACCTTGGAACCTCTCAGGGCTTGCAAGTGAGTCACCCCGCCTCGTTTTTCTGCCAGTGTGCCTTGTCTTAACCCCTCCACGTACACCGCCTTCTACGCACAGGCAAGCATTCATGTTAGGGTTGCATGCGGAAGATGAAAGGACTATGTTGTACTAGAATGAGGAGAGAAATATAGCAAAAAGAAAAAATTACTTAAACGACCATTACTTGTATATGCCAATTACACTATGTGGTGAGTAAGACATATTTTTACCGCCCAACTATAATGCAACATGGAAGCACCAACATACTCTATCAGACCTCGACCCATACATGCTCTACAGGGGCAAACAAAGAGTCCATTAAAACATCAATTGAATTCATTTTACATTTCTCTAACTCCATTTCTTCCCCAGGCCCTCATTCCCAAATCCCAAACGTGTCAACAGATACCAATAGCAGTATTGAAAGAAGCAAGAAGAA